CCATCGAACCTACGTCTAATTCCGCGAATCTTTATTAATCACCCTCATACTTTTATCTTTCTTGCTAGATCCTAACATTTTTGCTTATGATGAAGGTATATATGATAAATATAAAGATATTCTGACCTTTTTTTCAGGCCATTTATTTGATGGTTGGTGAAATTGATCCTGGGCCAACCAACACTCCAGAGGGACGCACAAAAGCCATATTTCATAAAATGGATGTGAACTCAGACCACGTGCTAACGAAAGAAGAATTTATTCGTGGATGTCTTAATGATGAACATCTTTATAAGTTGCTGGCTTGCTCCGAGCAAAAGTCATAACGCTTTTTATAACTTATCTCTTTTTCCAAGCAACACTCCAAGTTCCTCGTGTTTCTCCAGCCAGCATCGTCTTCGTCTATTTGAAAAATTACTGTATAAGCTTCACTCTTTTTTAAACAAATATGGTATCGAAGAAAAAAAGGAAGAACAATTTTTTCTGAGGGAAAAAATTGAGAAAAATTTCCTTAAATTTAATGATCTTCTTTTGGTCTCCCTAAAGATTTGAAGACTCGATTCCTTATTTTCACCCCTACTTTTGAATTATTCTTTTTTCATTCCCCCTGGCCTCGAAAACAAAGACAATATTTGCCGAAAAGCAAAACCAATCATGCCAATTCCATTTAGGAAAACTGGCTTTCTTTGGTTACCTTTACTAAAACACTATTTACCCTTAACCCTTGAATCCTGGATGCGATAGAAGCTGTTTGCAGATTGCCTCCGCATAACCATTGCGCCAAAAATGAAATAAGAAAACTTGAACATGTGGCAAGAGATGCCCATTTAGTAAGTTGGAACTTGTTTTCACTCCTTCCTCATAGGAATTGAGGTATATTATTTAATTGGATGTGAACTGCTTAATCTTGGTGTATACCTTTTGTTCGCATTAAGCCCATCACTGAGTATGATTGAAAGCCCAGCCTGAGTTTATAAATAATTTTATATTTTTACTCACCCCCGCTTTGTTAGCCGAAAGGCACCACCAAACCAATGCCATATCCTTTCCTTATCCTGCCCCAGCTTCTTTATGCTGCTTTAGATGTTGTTAAATATCCACTGTCTTTTTGTCCAATCAGGCTTTCCTACTTTCTCTGCTATGAACTTAAATATTTGGCAAAGTTAATGAAGCCAAGGCTGGCAATAAACATTCTTACTAAATGCATCAGCCTCTCAAATTAATCATGGTCACCAAGCTTCCAATTAGGCTTAATACTCAAGGGTACATAAAAATAAGATTACTATCGAAAGGAACCAACAACTGAAATTAAAACAGGCGAATTTGTTAAAATTATCACATCATCATAATATCCACTAAACTATTCGACAAACCGATTGCATGAAGTTTGGGGGCGGTTGTCAGACATTATGCTATTCAGAAAGCATAAGAGCCTACAAGTTCTTCAACTCCGGTTTCATAGTTCACCGCGTGCTCTTCTTTCGTTATAGGGCAGCTAATTCAAAAATTTTAAATTAATAGAAAATGTGTATATGTTTATATGGAATAATTAAAATATTATTAAAATGTTCTCTATCATGGCGGAGTGAACAGCGACAAAAGACCCATCGTAAACCACAGCTTTTTCTCTCGTAAATGCTCATCAGAGCGAGATACTGGAACAAAAAGAATTATATACATGCAAAATGTAACGAATTATGCTGATAAACTTATCATCTTTGACGAAGCCTGGCACAAATTACAACCGATTGTGAGGGCGAGCAACGTTTTTGTATGAGTCACTTATTGTAACCGTATGCGGGCCCAACCAAGTATATTCACGCTTATAT